TTTCATTACATATAGGCTTGCAAAGCTACTTAGGCCCAGGTGCTTCTAGTCCCTGTCTAGTCCCTGTCTTCCATAAAAGGAATAACTACAAGCTGTCAATGTCATCACCTCATTAAAGTGTTATAGTGTGGGCAGAGCCACAGTTACAGAACACTAGCCCCCAACAAAGGCAAACAAAAGTTCTGGGGGTTTTGCTTGTTTACTTTGGTTTTCAGACAGGGTTTCTCTGTATAGTCCTGAAACTCTCTTTCTAGACTAGGCTGGCCTTGAACTCAAGAGATCCACCTGCCTCTGGGTTCCTTGGGCTGGGATCATGTGACTGCAGCAATGCCCATAAGCCCATAGCTTAAAAGTTATGTTTTTATGATGAATATTAATGAAATATTGGGCAGAGTTCTTATAGGATTTGATAATCTGGGTTAGTTTTGCCTTCCACCTGGGGACTACTGGGATGAGAAATGAGTCTGAACATAAAGTTCCTCTTCTGTGAAATCTGGGAGGATTTACTGTGTGAAGTAAGTGATGCCGCCCCATGTTTAGTGGGCAGTTGGCTTGCTAAGTATGTTTCTCTATAAGCATATTGCCTACTTTCCTTTGTAGGGATTTTTATGTATCTTCATGTGTATTTTACATCTGAAATTAAATTTCAAGATCTATTATAGAACAAATTTTAAAAAAGGAAAGTTAGTCATATATTATGTATTTCAATAAATCCTTAAAATTGTGCCGTATTTCAGGATCATACAATTTCTATAAAGCATATATTTTCAGTCTAGAAATACGTATGTTTTGATAAAGCTATGTAATTAAATTAGTTTGGATTATTTCACCTATACCTTCTGCATTAAAATCTATGTAAAACTAAAAAAAGAAAAGAAAAGAAAGAAAATTTAAATAAATTAAAAAAAAAACACCCAACCAAATGGACTGAAGTCAGGGATCCCTGTGGTTGAATTAAGGAAAGGCTGGAAGAAGTTAAGGAGGAGGGTGACCCCATAGGAAGACTGCTGAGTCTCAACAAACCTGGATCCCAAAGATCTCCCAGACTCTGGACCACTTACCAGGCAGCATACAGCAGCCGATCTGAGGCCCTCGACACATATACAGCAGAGGACTGTCTGGTCTGGACTCAGTGAGAGAAGATGCATCTAACCTTTGGGAGACCTAAGGTCCCAGGGAATGGGGAAGCCTGGCATAGTATGTGTGGGGTGTGGGAACATTCTCTTGGAGCTGGGCGAGGATGAATAGGATGAGGAACTGTTAGAAGGCAGAATGAAAGGGAAATAATGACTGGACTGTAAAAAAGATTAAAGATAATAAAAAAGAAAGAAAGAAAGAAAGAAATTAAGATAAACAGCACAATCTAAACCTAGATGATAAAGACAAAATCTGCTGAAAAAAAAAAGCCCCAATATTCAAAACGTAAAGACCTATAGAAAATTAAGGGTTGCAAAGGATGATTGGCTTAGAAGGCCTCATCCATCTTTGAGGGTCTATAGCCAGTAATGGATACTAGGGAAGGAAGATAAATCTTGTTCAATGGTGTAGTCAACTGTAAGTTCCCCATATGCCTTTAATAAACCCTGGCTCTTGTCCTTATAAATAATTTTAACTGAAATTGTTGGGTTGTTTAAAATAAAAGACACAAAAGTAGAATTTTTGAAAAGAGTAAGATCAGTAGGAATGGAAAGATGACAAGAGAAAGTAGTGGCACGGGTGACTAGGATAAAAGTACATTATATGCACAGGTGAAATGTCATAATAAAACTGCCATTAACATACACTAATAGAAAACATAAAAGTATTCAAGTACAATTAATGGAATTTGCTACAATTGCCCAAAATAATATTGTATCTGTGTCTTTTTAATTTATATATAAACATTATCAAGTCTTCATTATCGCTTCATAGTTTTGAGTGACTTTTCTTTTTTTAACATAAACTATTATAGGCTTGATAAAATACATTAGAAAACTATGGTGGCGGCACAAAGAGTGGCCATTGAATACCTTATCATGAATATAACATGCAATGCCAGAGGGAAGTAATTTTGAGATGTCCGGCTAGAAATGTGGCATAGGGCTGCAAATCACATGCACCTACTGTTTACCAATAGCTTTGTAGATTACTAGGAAAAAACATTCTGGATTTGCAAAGTGGTTTCAGAAGTGTCTGACCCTTGGGTATTACTCATTATTTTCCAAATGATAAAGCTAATCTGTAGGAAAGTCCAGAGGTATGGTTTGGAATTGAAATTAGAATATTTGATTAAACTGAGTCCATTATCTTAATTATGCTTCCAGACCTATGTGAACATCACATTTCAATCTTCATTTTGATTTCCACTCTTTACCTCTCACAGATTTGATCATCCAAATGATGCCAGACAGTTGGCAACCTGTCTCTGGCTCCTGCTGAGACCTGGGTGCTAAAGAGTTAACTCACAAGCTCACCATGTTCTTTATAAGATTAGAGTCAGAATGTCCAGGAGACTTCTGTTAGCTCCCAGAGGTCTATACTCTAGAGAAAACAGAAGAGACTGATCTAGATAAACTAAAGGACTCTTGTTCTTATCTTTCAGGGAAGTGTGCTTCTCGTTCTGGTAAGGACAAGGAACTAAACATCCCATTAAGAACTTAAAATTAAAGCTTTGCTAAGTAAAATTGTTAAGTAAAATTAAAGTTGATGTTTGAATAAGTAATTATGGAAAGGAAGGAGAAGCAACTTTGGGGTGTGCCTGTATGAGCATATTTGTGTGAATCAGTGTGTTCATGTACATGTCCTTATTTTATATAAAATTATTTATAAGGACAAGAGCCAGGGTTGGTAGGTTCATGTATATGTGCAAGTGTGTGTGTGTGTGTGTGTGTGTGTGTGTGTGTGGTCTGTTGAATTGTCTGATGGTTAAACAGCAAGATTAAGTACCAGGCTATTTAACTAATATTCTGACATCCATAGCATCTCATTTAATTGATAAAATATCAAATAAAAGTGAGCCATATGATCAATAAGAAAAGAAACACTACCTGGTCAGTTTAGCATGTGATGCCACAAAGAAAAGGTTAGCCATTTTTTCTCGAATTATTTGTGAAAGCGGCTGCCACTACTGATTATCTGTATTTTGTTAGAGACTACAGCACACTGTCTATAATAACTCTGATGAAGAAATTTTTATTTATAATATTCAATGGAAGAGGACAATACATTTGATGTATTAGATTTACAGAGAGTAAATTGCCTGGCTGATCGTTATGTACAGATGTTCAGAAAATCTTCTGAGTTCTTGTTTATCTTAGCTATGGATAGTCTAAGAGCTCTGGGCAATGCTTGCTTGTGTATTGTCTTCTCAAATCATTCTTTTTCCATGGTACCTACAGCATCCACTGTTGTCATCTTCCTCCAACTGTCTGTTTCCAACACATGACACTCTCAGCAATCGTGCAGCTCCTAAAGTTTTGTGAGATTCAGATTAGCATTTTGTACCTTTTATTCCTCTTTGATGATCTCATTTATTTTTACAGCCCATTACCAACTATTATGTCAATGTTTCTTAGTCTAATGTTTTGGGGTCTGTAAAAATATTCTCTAGTAATCCTGAAGTAAAAGCACTTATTAAATGAAGGTTAACTAACATGTCTTTGTATCTCTGGCCTATCCATGATCCTATCCTTCCTCATTGCTACAGATCTGGATATTTTATAATTTCAAATCTGTTTCATCATTTCTTTAACTTATACATTTATTTCAAATAGAGTTTTAAATATAGGACAGCTTATGTTAAAAATATTTGTGTTACGTTGAGTATATTTAGAGTCATTCAACATTGGATTATCTTGAATCTAAAACATATAAATTGCAAGAGTATATATTCGATCTGAAAATGAAATAGTAGGCCTGTTGATAATGACCCTAAGAATACAACCAGGTTTTAGTTTATTATGTGGGTGCATCTTAAATGTTTATATTTCAAAAGGAAATTGCACAGTTTGGATTTGTTTCCAAATTTGAACATTTTTATTCAATTGACCATAGTGATCAGAGTAAAATAATCCAGTCAGGTCTGGTAAGGGGAATGCATTCATCACACTGCACAAATCATCACACCACACAAATCATCACACTGCACAAATTGCCTCTGAAATAATAAGATGAAAATCTGAACTATGACCCATAACTACTTAAACTAGAAAACTTCTCTTCACCACGTGGGTGAAGAAACAAAGAAACGAAAAAACTTTCAGGGTTAATTTCTCACATTGTGTTAGAAACTAGTATTTCTACTAAATGATGTTAATATTTAAATTTTCTTGTAATGTGATATTTTTAGATATGTGTTTAATTCTTCACAAATATCTGTAACAGAAATCTACTGTGAGTAAATAAATCTTACTGATATAAAATCAAGCTTATAACAATCAGACAGACTAAATCAATTAAGACCAACCAAAGAAGTGGTGCAGATGATTAAACAACCTTTTTTATTTTCAGTTTTATAAATTTATTGTAGATATATAAACAAATATTATATATAATATAGATAATAAGGGTAGATAAAATGTGTATAATGAAAACTTACCTCTTAAAATTAAGACATTAATTACTCACACTTTCTTTCTAGCAGTTACTGTTTTCCAAATTATTTTCAGTGATCTCTGAGCATTTTAATAGATTATAATTTCAGACTGTCTTATATGAAGTTCAGAGATGTGTTGTAAAATTAACATGGGAATTACTTAAGGTTGAGTGGCGAAAGTAGTAGAAAGGATTTCGGAAATCTTTTAACTTATCCAACAAAAATATTTGAATTGCCATCAATGTAGGAAGGTAGTTAGAATTGTCTTTTGTCATATTGGAGGATGTTAACATGCTGAAGGACTTACAGTACTTTTGGAAGAATGTCCTAGTTGCATATGCTAAATATATTTTGTTATAAAATATTTAACTCATTTTTGTAAAACTGAATATCACCTAAAAGAATGATTGCTTTTTGTTATATGGTTTCAGATACAGCTCTTATTCCTACACATGTCTGTTTCCAACAACTCTGAGATCAAGTATTTTCTCCTAATTGGGATACCAGGACTGGAATTTGCCCACACATGGATCTCCATCCCCATCTTCCTCATGTACCTTATTGCCATCATGGGTAACTGCATTATTATTTTTGTCATCAAGACCGAGCCCTCCCTTCATGAGCCCATGTATTACTTCCTTACTATGTTGGCTGTCTCTGATATGGGCTTGTCCTTTTCTTCCCTTCCTACCATGCTTAAAATCTTCTTTTTCAATGCCATGAGAATCTCACCTAATGCCTGTTTTGCTCAAGAGTTCTTTATCCATGTGTTCACTGTCATGGAGTCCTCTGTGCTTCTGATTATGTCTTTGGACCGCTTTCTTGCCATTCAGAACCCTTTAAGATACAATTCTATCCTCACCAGCAGCAGAGTTGCTAAAATAGGGCTAATTTTAGCCTTTAGGAGCACAGTTTTGGTGCTTCCATTCCCTTTCACACTAAGGAAACTGAGATACTGTCAAAAGAATCTCCTCTCTCACTCATACTGCCTTCACCAGGATGTCATGAAACTGGCCTGCTCTGATAACAAGATCAATTTCATCTATGGCTTCTTTGTGGCTCTCTGTACCATGCTGGACTTTGCCTTGATTCTTATGTCTTATGTCCTGATCTTGAAGACAGTTCTCAGTATTGCATCTCTTGCAGAAAGACTTAAGGCCCTAAATACCTGTGTCTCCCACATCTGTGCTGTGTTTATCTTCTATGTGCCCATCATCACCCTGGCTGCGATACATCGCTTTGCCAAGCACAAAAGTCCCCTACTTGTAATCCTTATTGCAGATATGTTCTTGTTGATACCACCCCTGATGAACCCCATTGTGTACTGTATAAAGACTCGACAAATCCGAGAGAAGGTCTTGGGAAAGTTGGTTAACTTATGTGTGAGATAAGGACTTGGTAATATAAATAATACATTTTCTGCAAATAAGTACTTACACTGGCACTTGCTGTGCGCAGTGTCATTCATGGTGGTTAATAGAAGCTCTAGAGTAAGGCACTGAACTTCTATGATGTATATAATTTATAATTGGGTTGAGAATATTTCCAGTAATTGTTCAAGAAACAGCTGAGAGATAGGATATGATTTAGAGAGGCACAACTAACATTTTAAAAGGAGTTTAAACAAAACATTTGTGTGATTAACAGTTAAATCAGGCTTTAAAAAATTGACAAAATTTGAGTAGACTTATTACCTTTCAATTGATATTTATAGAATATTTCTGTAATGCAAAATATTTATACCATAAAAGAAATCAAATTAGTAGTATAGATAGTAGTTATTTGATAAATATTGAGTGAGAGCTTTGAATGAAATGATTGAACTGGGTTAGGAATGTGTAAAAGAAGTTGAACCCTAGATATATTTGAAAGTCTTTTGTGCAGAAAGGCAACGTGTCTGACCCTTATTCAAGATATTGAGTCTGGGAGAGATTGGTAGACAAGTCAACACTCTCCTGTGAAGTGGTAACTCTTGGATGAGGAGAGAAGGATCAGAAATATGTACTTTTTGTTGTTTGTTTGATTTTTGTTCTAATTTTGATTGTTATTAAATAAAAACGTTCCAGAAAGTATCTGAGAAATAGCTTTAAACCCTGTCTTGTTGCTGTTTAGTTTTTTTATGTCATAATGTTAGTGACTTTCAAATAAAATATAGCTCTTAAAATTAAATTTCTAAAGAACACAAACATTGGTATCAAGATATTTTTCATCAAATTTATTTATTAACATTTTCATGATATAAGAATTATTTTAATGAAAAACTAAAAGGCTGAGTTTACATGCAAAAGTGCAGTTGAAAGGAAGTTAGGTGTTAAGGTTCTCATGAATTCTACGTAGAGTACTGAGGCCCTAATTTTGCTTTGAACACATCCAGACTTTTCAAAGATATCAGAGTTTTATAGGATGGATCTAAATTTTTTGAGGATTTCTCTCAGATGACTGAATATTAAATATAGCATCCCAGAGAAAGCTTGAAATAGGAAGCTATCAGGCTGTTTACCAGTCACTAATCAAAAATATAATGGGTTCCTTTGGGAAGATGACAACACTTGTATGTAGATGTATATAGAGGAAACATGTTTCTTAAACAAGAATCAATCATCAAACTATGGGGATCCTTCCTCTACTGAAGTGCATCTCTGATGTCCTTCACCCACTGATACCCATTGTTAGGTTTGTGGACAGTTTTGGAGGCCTATTCTAAAAATTAGGCAGGAATTTGTCATTAGGCTAAGACATGGAAGTAGGCTCAGATAAGAATATTTACATTTGGGCTAATAGAAAGTTCAAGGTAAACTCAACCTAGGAATGTGTGGCCTTCTTTATATCTTGGTCATCCTGAGAAGCCTCTAGAAACTTTGACCACTGGGCTTTGTTTACTGCCTTGTTTGATCTCCTTATTTATTGCCTTGTTTGATTACTTTCTCCTTGATCAAAGAACTGACCCTATTTTTTGCATGTACCTAGAATGGTATAGTAACAGACTGGGAAAAAATAAAGATGCTTCAGCCTCAAAACTGGCTGGAGTCATGTTATGTTGTCTAACTGTCTTTTTCTTTTCAATCCTTACTCCCTCTCTTGAGACCCTTGGCTGACTGAACTGGCTTGGTCGTATGTTCTTAGTTCATATTTAAAATTTTTCTTCAAATATAATCTTAAAACAACATTAAGCAATTTGTACTGAAATGCCGGGTCTCCACACATTTTATTTATATCATGCATGGATAGACATCTCTACTCTATATTAATATTGTCTGTCTTGTTCTTTAAGCAACATAAGTACACTATGATGCTAGTTATCTTATATCTTAGCCTCTGTTTGTAATAAATCCTGAAGTGATGAATTTGTTATCTATTATTTCATAACAAAATAACATACATTAAATGGCTAAATACAATAGACATGCTTTCATTGTATAGTCATTTATGTTAAAATACTTAAGATTTCCAGGGCTAAAATCAAAGAATAGACAAACCCACATTTTTTTCCTGAGGTCACTGAAAAGAGCTTTTTCCTTACCTTTCTCAGCTTCTAGATACCACCTTTATTTCAGAACTTATGGACAACCCTTCCTCCATACCCAAAACAAATAGCAATGCACCTCAACACAACTTCAACACAGCCTATAAGTCAGGTTTCCAACACTGATCACTTTCAGAAAACTTTCTACAAATTTGTATTAATAAAAATAATATCTGACCCTCAATATTTGTAGTTGTGGTTATTTATGCAGAATATATTTCGCAATGTGAAACAAAATACTCATGCTATAGAAGCTAGGATGCTGAAAGTTTTGGAGAATGTGTTTTTCTTCTTATGAAGTATTTCCTCAGCATCTTTTTTACCTTTCATACTCTTAACAGGGAAACATAGTCATCATGATACTAAAAATTGAAAATAACACTAAATATGGGTTAGTGAATATCATGTTAATAAATTTAAATTAACACACATGACACATTTCAAAAGGTAACACAATCAAATGAAGCTAAAGTAATTTATTGAAAAGGGAAGAATTACTGAACAATTTTTTACAGATTGCATTAATTTACCACCTCAATAGAAGAAAGGTGGAATGTCAAATGGTACACATATATTTAACGTAGTGTCATAGTACATGCCCTATATCTTTTGGAAAACCTTAGAACATGAGTGTGACTGAATGCCAATGAAAATGTAAAGAAATACAAATCCAAGCTGTCTTAATACTATTACAAAATACCCAGGACTTCACACACTCCCAGGAATTATCTCAGAAAGTACTCCAAAATTCCATAATACTCTTTAGAACTTCTGATTTTCTAAGAAAATCCAGAGCTTATGAAGGAAATAAAAGAGTCGGAGGCATATAAACAGTAGAGACATTAGACTCATCCTTCAAGACAATCTACATTTTCCTATCAGGAGATGGAAGTTGACAGTACACTCGTTCATGAGTTTATGGCAGGACTGGCTGGTTAGGAAGCTGAGCTGAGTTGGTACTCTCAAGGTGATTCTGAGTCACAGACAGAAATTAAAACATCCTATCTCTACAGTGCATTTTTTTTTGCCTGCAGGTGATATCACAAGCTGAAAGTACCCTCAGATTGCTCCCAGACAAATGAGAATGACCTCTTTCAATTACTTGCCTATTTCCCCCCAGGCATCATAATTACAAAGCAGTTAGTTGTGAGATAGAAATAAATTCTGTGTTAAGTTTAAAAAACAATGCAGGGGTTTGCGGTATCCTCTATTCCTTCTATCCTCTTTGCTTCTTTCACTTTATTTTTTTCTGGGAACCATAGAGATCCTTGTACATGGCTTAATAAATCACAATATTCCTCCACAATGATGTGTAAACTCTTGGCAATTTCCAACTAAATTGACAATTTCCAACTAAATCTCATCATGTCTACTTGGAAGACATAATCATTTACCTCTGCTTCTACTACTAACCTTTGTTTCCAACCAACACCCTTTATTTTCTGGATTATTGCAATAACCCCTTAGCCTATTTCCCTCTGCTTCTTCCTGTGGCCAAATTCTGCATATATCATATCCTTGGCATCTTCCAATGACTTCTCCATCTCATTCTAATTGAGATTAAAAACCTATCAACAACCTACCTACATGACACAGAAACTGCACCTCTCTTCTTTTATTGCTACACTCTCCATTTTAGTGGTATTAAATGCAGCGGTATTTTTCACACATACCCATTCTAACTTTAGGTTTTCAACATAATCTTCGATCCATCCTGAAGCCTTCCATATACAGCTTTCTGCCACATACACATTTAGAATATGAATTCTCTTCCATGTTACCTGGATCGTATCAGCGTGATGTACAAGATTCTGGGTCATTTAGAATGAATGAAATATTTTAGGTAGTTCTACCCATCTATAAGTGTCTCTTTGGAAAGCTGCCTTGGTCCTTTCTCTCAAGGCCATTTCTGATGTCTTAAATGTTTATAATATTTTCCATGTTATGTTTTACTTTATGCTTCTATGGATTTTGTTTTGCTTAATAAATTGAAGAAAATGAAGTTTATTGCAAGAAAAAATCTGCTAAGACTTTTCTTTGAAATTATCTTTTTTCTAAGTTGTAAATTTAGGCATCTTGGTATGTCTTGATTCCTTTTTATCTTATTTTCTTAGTTGAGAAGTAAAAAAGAAAATTATATATATTTAGCACATTGATATTATTTTAAAGAGTGTATACATTGTGAAATACCTTAATTTAACTAACATGCATTATCTTGCCTATTTTGGGGGTCAACAGTACTGAAGACCTCTTTTTAGAAATTGTCATGTAAGTGATGTAGACAGCTTTGCAAAATGGAAATAGTTAGGTATGTTTTAATAGAAAATTGAACTCCAACAAGCTTAATACAATTAGATCAAATAAGCTACTGCAATTTACTCAAGTTATACAGAAGCTTATACCTTCTAAACATGACTCTAAGTATCAATATAACTTTTTAATTCATTATAACAGAGGACAGAGATCACTGTATTCGTTGTACTGAAATTACAGGAACACATCAAAAACATAAAGATCAATGGTGCAATTACATACAAACCTCAAAAATTTCAGGGGCTTCATGTTTCTATGATGTTTGTGTATTTACTGACATATAATATAAACCACTTATAATGTTCTGTCTCATACTGTTTTCTATACATTGATGTTCTCACATGATGATGCTTAAATACAGATATACACATCATTGTAGATGTGGTTTTTGCATGCTAGAAATGATAAGCCATTGGTAGTGAATGGTGAGGTGCAGGTGACAAGCATGAGAGAAATGTTAGATGCCCTTGTCCTTGAAAGAGATCAATCAGGAGTGAGAGGTTATTGCACATAAACTCATGACAGGGGACTTGGTGTTTAGCCAGTCTTTATTTG